GGGACAACATCCCCGACCACGTGAAACCAAACACCAAAGATCTTCTGACCTTTTTAATGAAGTCTAAGGCGGATTCCACAGTTAAAAGATATACAAAAGAAATCGTCAAGTTCTCAAGATGGTGTAATTTCGTCAATTGTATGAATAAATGTCAGCTTGGATTGCCTGAGCATCCAACCATCATTCCTTTGGTGTTGTATTTCTATAGTATTTAAGGAGAAAATAATTTACGTTCGTCTGAGCGCAGCGAATTAGAACGTAAAAGTTGTATCGGCCCATCCTTACTCTTAAGTGAATCAGAGTTATCAGAACTCTGTCGGTCGACTGACTGCTGCAGGTGGTTGTCTCTTCCCTCAGACAAGTCTTCCTTCAAAACTCGCCATCAGAGTCGCGGAAGCTGGTTTCGAGATAGTGTTCAAAAATCGTCTTGGTGACGGTTTGTGTAGTCGCTGCAAGAATTTAATATTGTGATCTTATTCATCTTCTTCCGTTGCTCTCGTTCTTGTTCTCCTGCGAATATAAATGTAACAATAAAGATCATTTGATCGGCAGCCTCGATCTCAAGTTGTCATTTTTTAACGGAGACGCTTCATTCAATCTAACATTCATACATACATACAAACTTTACTCTCATCCTGAAAGGGCTTTTCAGAGAATACACGCTAAAAACCATATCATAAAAAATTACAAAAAGAAAACCACATACTATTTATATAGTATATTACACAACTATATCACTTTACAATCCATGAAGTCTTTTATTAAAATGTTTTTAATTTCCTTTTAAATTCTTGTAGTGATCTGTTTAACTTGAGCGAGGAATCTAGTGCATTCCAAATCTTTACAGTTCTATAGGAGAGGGTTCTCTGTCCTGTAGCAGTCTTTAGGAGAGGAATCTGAAGTTTCTGTGAATTTCTTGTGGTGCGGGTTGATACGTCTGAACGTTTAATGAACTGTTTATTTAAACTTTTGGGTGCGCAACCAGTCATACACTTGAATGCCATTACAGCATTTCTGTAATAGAGTTGTTGCCTAATAGGTAGCCACTGCATTGGCCTGAAGACTGGCGTTATGTGGTCAGATTTCTTTGCTCCACTAATTATACGACAAGCAAAGTTCTGTACTTTTTGTACTTTGACTAGGTTACTCTCGGTGGCATCACTTCAAACATTGGAGCAATAGAAGAGTTTGCTAAGGACTAGATCATTGACAACTATGGTTAAAGTGTCCTTGTCCAACACGTGCTTGACGCGGTTTATCTGTCCCAGTCGTGACATACAAGTTGAAACAGGGTTTGTTATATGGTCTTTGTACGTTGGGCAGGGGCTAGATCTTTACCCGAAAAAGAAAGGCGAAGGTCATAAACCTTGCTGATTCGATTACCGCATGTCGTAGGAGCTAATGACGTGATTTGGATTTCTTAGTTTAGACCGTAGTAAGGGGGACTAGTTACCACATTACACAAAGAGCCATAAATACAATACAACTTTAAACTGGTTCTTACGGAATTGCAGATTCTTTAGCACGAATCATTATGACTCGAATAATTAAACGTTTCCATAAAAAAACGAAAACATTTTCATCAAAAGAGTTTTAAAGTTCCCTCTGTAATACGGCTGTTTCGTTTTCCCTTCATAGCATACGCTCGAAAGGAATGTGAGAAAAAGGAGATTCGCATGCCCAGTTACACAGTATTTCCTTCTGCAAATGCATAGATGTGGAATGGTTTATTTATTACCGTCTAATTACTTTCGATACAAATTACAAGTTTTCATGCGCCCACAAGGTGCTCGAGTGCTACACTCTTTTTTTTCCCCTTAGAACGTCTAATTTTGTGGCTGAGGCTGGACTTTCTTGTTGTCATTGTTGTCAGTTTTTTTTTTCGGTGATTTGAGCCTGTAAATGTTCTTAACATGTTCTTAAAGTTTTGCGATATAGTATTTCTAAAAATCAATTTGCACCAGAATAAGTTCGAGTACAACAATGTTACAAAACGGTTCCCTAATATGTGAGTCAATTGTCCTGAAAGATCACAGTTTTGTATCTATTTTGCCTTTATTTATACTTCTCAAAAAAGAAAGGAGCAAAGTGTAAACGTTCTTCAGTGACTCTGACCCTGGGTATGTACTTGGTACGTTCTTAAAATTTTGGTTCATCTCAGCCTCAGTGAACGTTCCTATAAAAAGGTCTATAAAAAGGAGTGTATTCTAGTTGTGTCGCATTTTAAAATTTAAAGTAGAACTATTGCAACAGCGTTCAATGTTACAGAAGAAATAAGTCTACAATACTGTATAAAGAATAAAACTTGTTACCTAGGAATAACAAAGTATATAACAAGGTTATTTTGGTTTTACCAACTGGGTTGATAATGTTAATTGGCTACCGTTAAGAGCTTCAAAGCTGACGTATCGAGCGTTAGCCCTTTGTCAGAGAAAATGGAGGAATTGTGGGTGGTGTGTGTGTTTATATGGGGAAAATGAAGGCTCCGCAATTTTATGGGAACATGTTAACGAGAATAACAAGAATAAATGAGTTGGATAAAAGCGTTCTTTGATACCGTGGGATTAAGAGCGCCGATTGGAAAGATAAATTCTTGTTCGAGAGTTTTGCGAGCAGGCCGTTGTTTGATCTGGTCACACAACGGGGTAAGAGATCACGTTGCTTGAGGAGAGCAAACAAAGGCTGTAAAGGAGACTACGGGAAGCGTGGTACCAATACAGTTTATTTTTGCCTGAAATAACTTAGACATCAGCGACAGTAGACCGTGATATACGTGTCTTTTTATTTTGCTCTCCATTGAACGATACTTTCATTGGAATCTTTCGAAAGTAAATAATGTTTCTGTTTTACAAAAATGCAAACATCAGTTACTTAGCGTGCCATTTCAAACCACCCACACAAAAAAATAACTCATGCATACTTATCATGCCTTTGTTTTCTTACGCAAAAGAAGCCATTATGATCTAGCTTCCGGAAGAGAATGTTATGATCAAACGGTAAGAAAAGCTTTTTTCAGGTCGACAAAGACTCCACAAGGCATGAGGGTTTCTCCATATTTGTCTGTTTACAATATCTAGAGTTGCCATCATATTTGCTTTAAAAGAAAAGTAAACAAAATCACAAAAATCATTGGCGAGGAAATCTTACAAAAACAATTGAGGCTTATATGCTGAGGTTTTCTCAGAAGCGGTACAAGATAACGTGTTGTTAAGCCACGTTTACCAAATGAGATATAACGCCTAAAAAAAATCATAACACCTAACAAACACATATGCTTTCAAAAACTGGCGTTACCATTAAAAGTGACTTCGTAAAGAGAGAGAGAGAAAGAGAGAGAGAGGGAGTAAAATTACTCAAATATACTTGGAACCATTGTCAAGTTTTTTCCGTGAAAGTATGACAGTATTCTGAGAGAATCATCTAACGGTGACACAATGGTGCTATGAAGTGTATTGTTCTCATAATGAACACCAACAACCATGCCAAACGCAGACATGGACTCCTGGTCCTCACGTTTTTCAAAAATCACGGCTCCAGAATCACCTAGGCGACTAAATGGTTCATCGACTACGTTTTCAAGAACAAAGTTTTTTCGCCACCCAACAGATTCTGGCTCAGTCACAACCACTTTTTTCGTGTCGAAGTCAAAATGCAGTACCTGCTCACTAAGGGGAACTTTCAAATTGATCAGTCGAAGGTCAGTAGAAGTATTTATCGAAGTGTGTTCGGTGATACTTCCGCTCTTACACCATTCTCTCGCGTGCGGGTGAATAAGGACTTCATCCGACGCAAGAACAGTGCCGCTTGGGTAGTTTGCAGTGCCAATCATTTCGACAAAAAAATTTTGTTTGAGAGCGTTTACTTCTTCCTCTCTCAACTCAGCAACTGCTGCATCGATGGATATTTCTTTTTTGCTGAGATTAGAATTCATATGCACGTTGCCGCTGAAAGCACGTGAGAAGTCTGCTACAACCCTTGGGGAATGATTGACAAGCTCTTCCAATTGTTGTGCATAATCAATGAAATCTTTATAACATCCACTTTTTTTCACGGATGAAGGCAATTTATCATTGTTACAATCTGATATTCTTTGCAGTCCCCTAAATGCATTTTTCAACTCAGATAACTCAGTGGGTTGCCAATTCCTTGTAGAAAAACCCGTTTCGGTTTTGGTGACCCGTTTCAACAATTTGTTGTATTCATCTAGGCAATACTTAAACGACTCCACGTATTGCAACCACCCAGGGTGTAATATCTCTTTTTTCTCTCTGTCTCCGATCACATGATTACATGAAAGCAAATAAAATTTGTCATCATCATCTTTCACAAAAGCACCTAAGGTCCCAGCATAAGGAACCCCTTTGAGGCTAATGCTTGCTCCTAGACGTAGGTATTCCCTTCTTTCTTTTGGCTCAATTGGATTGGATGGGTTCACTGTTTCAATCCAAAATCCCTCCACGATGTCTACTGGGTAACTATCAACAAACTCTGGAATGTTACTTTCGCCGATGGGGATGCGACCTTTGCCAATAACATTAACCATGATGCAAGGCTCGTTTGTCCGCTTCGAATCTGTTATTTTGAGAGAAGGGTACACGGCAGTGATGTTACGATGCTTGTTGAAAATGAGTAGAGAAGTGTCAATGATCTTACTAATTTCATCAACCTCGGATTTCTGCAATCTTCTTGACACTCCAGGGGTGATGTTTGGCACATCAGATGTTTCATTGCACAGATCCGTCCATTTTAACTTCACACCCATCTTTCCGAAGCAGTTTCCAGCAGCTTCACTTAACACTTTTGGTATACCGTTATTGCCACAGAACACGTACAGTTGAACGTAAACCTGACCACTCAGTTTATTTCTGTACGGCAACACCCTGATACATTCCTTGTGAAGAGCTTCAAAATTTTTGGTTTTTTCTATGATGTCTTGATAGTCTTCTAGTGAAAATATAAACACAATGCTATGTGGGTGAACGTGTCTTTTTTCTTATAAGTGCAGTTGTTGTTGGTCATCGGAGGCGTTACGGTTACAGACATTTAGTCACAAAAATTAAAGCTAAATACAAACCCGTTGGGTCAGATTTGTAAAATCGCCCTTTTTTACGTTTTGAAGTAAAAGAGATTTAAGTTCTAGTAATTTGTATGAGTTACGGTCGAGGGTAGCAGCTAGAAGTCTTGTGATATGTTTAGAAGTCGCGAATGACCAATGATTGATAATCAATATAAAATCAAATTTTTAGTGAATCTGAGATTCTTAACAATGCCTCTGATCTGATTGACTTGAAAAAGGTAAAAGTGTTATTTTTGACGAATTATGTGATCTGGAGTTCACAATGGGGTGTGGCTTATTTCGTTGATAATCCAAGAAAAGTGCGATAGAGTGAGCTGCAAATTGAGGTAAAGTGACGTTTGTGTGTGTTATCTGAACATAATAATTTACTAGCATCAGTATAGCTCATCACGAAACCTGTAAGTTTGAAATGGTGAGTACTGTAGTAAATGTAGAAACTGTAATTGGTTCTCAGTGTATTTTTATGCCACCATAAACAATTCTCTACGATAAGCTAGCGAATGGCAGCGAATATCCTGGCCTCTTCTCTTGCTCAATTTTATGATATGACAAAGTTAGATTGCTTTCCAACATAGAAAATCAACATAATACTCGCTCAAGCAAATGTAAGGTTATGCGAGATTACATTGAGGACCATTGAGGCTCTCTTTGCATATTATTTTATGTTTAGCCCAGAATTTTTTCTCGCTGTTTACCTATTCCTGTAATCAATCAAATTAGAAGCATTGTAAACATCAAATGAAAAGCAATTAATTAGTAATTAAAAACATAACTATTGATCAACAGCGAATTGTTTCCACATCGACGCGCGACTTGAACCCTCGACCCGCGGCCAACAACTATTAATCAAATTCCGAGACGAATCGTCGCAGGATGTGTATCGAGTGTATGATCAGGTTTACTTTCTACGAACGGCCGACCGAGATCAACTAGAGGCCCACCTACTGATTCCATTCGGTTCAGTTTCATCTAATTTATTTATTGGCTGCTAAAAATTAATGTTACACCATCTTTGTAATGAAACAAAACAAAAAGAGAATCGTCTGTGAGGCTTTGCATAGCTAGTCTACAAGCCTGCCATTAAAAGCTCCCGAAGCATTTCATTGCCCATTTCGAAAGAGATAAAATAGATAAAATAACGCTCTCATTTCACAACTTTTAGATTATATGAGTTATACACCAGCTGGAAGGTACATATTTGGAAAAACTGTGCCCGATGTCTTGGATATCGCCCAAGGCCGAGGGCCTCGGGCGGTACTCAAGGCTTCGAGCACAGTTTTTCCCAATACGGACCGACCTGGCATGGTGAATTATATTTTTATGTTTTTCTTTAACTTAAGGAGATGGTTTTAAAAATAGGCCGAATAACTTAGGGCTGTAAGTGACAGCAAGATCACTGGAACAACTGTTGAGCGAATGGATGAAAGAGAAAACAGAGGTAATGCAATTTAAAATAAGAGGGTTCATTGACACAGTTTCATCTGCGTAGTGATATGGCTGATTTAAAAGGCCTCCAAGAAAATTTTGAAACATTTTCTTATAAGTATCTGTCACGATCTGACACTTGTCAATTAGAAAGCGCGTAAGAATTATATTAAGCCTGCTGACACTTGAAAAAGACAACGCAACTGTTTTCGCAAGTAAACTCGAGGTTAATGACTGTCACTGGGACGTTTTCATCCGCCTTGATTTTACGAAAGAAATTTTCTCTTGCAACGATGATTAATCTACGAAGAATTACCTCTGTTCAGTTTTAAATGTCAAGGAAAGTCAAATTGAAAGTAACTTCAAATGCATGTTTTGAGGTTGCTTGTTTGCTTGCTGTCATGGTGTCTGTAAAATATTTCTTCCACCAAAACATTGAAGTCAATAACATGCTTTTTCTAGCTAGACACAAGGAGATGTAATGCGACTTTTAGTCATCGAATTTCTTCGGTTTCTTTGTGAAATGTACGGTAGAAATATCCAAATTTCTGGAGCTTGCAAAGAATTAGTGTTATTAATCAGCTAAGGGTCGTGACCGAAATCTCTTAGCCTACAAAGCTGACTGGCCGGTTAAAGAAGTACATTTATGAAAGTTTGCAACGAAGCTAAGGATGTACTAGGTGACTCAACACGTAGCGCATAGGATATCGCCCGCTGTGAGCGGGCCGGATGTGAGAATACTGCCCGCTCTCGGAGCCAATGAGATTGCAGGATTTGTAGAATACCGCGCGCTCACGAACTAAGAAAAAATAAAATAAGTTCAGTTATCTTCAGAATTTAAGCACTCAAGTATGCTACTCGTTTCGAGACAAGCCGATCTTTCCTACTTCATTTTGAGTAATGCTGTGAATGGCTTGAACCCAGGAGTGACATGTGATAATGCAATGAGATCGTCCGGGTGAGTAATCTTAAGAAGGACTATTTTCAATGATAGTGAGTGACGTTTCGACCATCTAAACGTAAAGTTCTCTCAAGACTACTTTTACAGAGATGATCGCATCAAACGGTCATTCTTATCAAATTATTTTTTATCGAACCACTTGCAGTCACGGTCAACCAGCCAGAATTACTATTAGCCTAGTTTGCTTTCCTGTCAAAATTGAGAATTAAAGCTGACAGTAATTCTTCTTAGATCTTCAACTGGGAGGTATATGTATCATGTTTGGAAAAACGTTGAAACTTTAGATATTGCTGTAGTTCACGTACCGTTATTTCAGTAGCCTAAATCAACAGCCAAACGTCCTAAGTTTTCGAATTCCTCGCTTTCTACACTTTTTATAGGATTTGAAGCAACTAACTCTAAAGCAATGAAGATCGTGGAGTGTCGGAACAAAGGGCATGAAATTTAGAAAGCTAAACTGAATATCATTGGTGTCTCAGGCATTATTCCGTTCATCAAATAAGGAAAGTCCATTTACCATTTATTCTACAACTTGAATCGCTTTTGAGTCGTCAATTGTTTCTTTTTATTATATCAGCCTGATGATATATTAGGATCATTTTGTTTCCACATGGTTAGTCGTTCACATTTTTCAAGACGTAATAACTAGGCATCTCTTTCCCTATTGCAAAGACTACGTAAACATAAAAAGGAATTCCATTTTTTTTATTTGAGTTACCTTCAGTCTTCTTAAATGCGCCTTTAGTCAGTTCACCTTCAGGTTGAGTGTTCTGTTGGCCAACCAGTTTCTCTGCCTCTGAAAAAATACCAAATTTTTAATGTGATGCATGATATCATACGCTCAGTTTGATTTTTAAGCATTGTAACAAAAGGACTAAAATATTTAGACAGGTATAAACTTTATATGAAAATAAATGTAAATTTAACTCAACAGACACACGACAACATAGAGTCAATTTGTTTTCTGTGATATAGAAGCATTTATTCTACGAGTTGAATCGTTTTTCAGTCGTCAGCTGTTTCTTTTTATCATATTATCCTGATATTGAATCAGCATCGTTTTGCATCCAGATGGATTGTCGCGCACATTTTTTCAAGACCTAATTATTGAGGAATTCTTTCTTTATTGCAAAGAATACTTAAACATAAACAGCGATCCATTTTTTTTATTTTAAATTTCTAAAACGAACAAACTAACAAAATCCAAAAGCAAATTGATTTTGAGTTACCTTCCCTTTCCTTAGAAACGCCTTTAGTCATTTCACTTTGGGATTGAATGTCCTGTTGGCCAACCAGTTTCTCTGCCTCTGAAACATTACCAAATTTCTCATGAGATGCATGATTTGTTCACGCAGTTTGATTTTCAAGCATCGTAACAAAGAAACTGAAATACTTATCGAGGACTAGGCTCTATATGAATATGTATGTATGCAGTTGTTGAATCTGTTTCACTAATGCAGCTTTCCCAGATACCTTTACAAGAGGGCCCAAACCTATCAAAATAATTAAAGAAACGCTCTACAAGAAGAAGCTAGCTTGTCTTGACTCAGTCCCAGTTCGTTCTTTTCGAAAAACAAACAAAAAAAAAACAGATCTACACCGCTGTCAATTTCTGTTCAGTTCAAATTCCTTAGCCTTGCGTGGAAAAGGTTGACTAGGTAACGGGTTTTTATCAACGAAGAAGGTACGTTTTCGGCTTCGGAATCTCCACATTACCAAAATGAATACCTGGGTCAAGTATTCCTTCCATTCCACTAGAGGCGTGGTATTCGTTTGTTAGGTATTAATTACAGAATCTAAACTTTGTCTGAATGTCAGGCAAAATATTCTTGATTCCACCAGAGTAAACTTGATGCTGAACAATTATCGTATCGAAACTGTTCACAGGAGAGCAAATAATAATTACCATCATTATCTTTCAAAATTGCACCTAAGGTCCCACCATCAACGACCCCCTTAGTGCCGATGCTTGCTCCCAAACGGAGGTATTCCCTTTCTTCTTGTGGCTCCATTGGCTTGGATGGGGTCTCCCTTTCCATCGAAAATCCCTCCACGATGTCCACCGGGAAACGTTCAATAAACGCTGGAATGTTAGTTTCGCCGATTGGGATGCGACCTTTTCCAATAACATTAACCATGATGCAAGGCTCGTTTGTCCGCTTGGAATCTGTTACTTTGAGAGAAGGGTACACTGCAGTGATGTTACGATGCTTATTGAAAGTGAGTTGAGAAGTGTCAATGATCTTCCAAATTTCATCAACCTCGAATTTTTCCAATCTTCTTGACACTCGACGGGTGATCTTTGGCACATCAGATGCTTCATTGTACAGATCCGTCCATTTTAGCTTCACGCCAGTCTCTTGAAAGCAGTTTCGAGCAGCTATATTTAACTCTGCCGGTATGCCGTTATTGCCACAAATCACGTACAGTTGAACGTAAACCTGACCACTTAGTTTATCTGCGTATGGCAACACCCTGATACATTCCTTGTGAAGAGCTTCAAAGTGTTTGGTTTTTTCTATGATGTCATGATACTGCTGTTGTTGTTGTTGTTGTGCTTCTAGTAAAAATAAACACAAGGGATTTATGTTTTAGCAACTTGTATGACTTATGAATAGGCCTTTTGCAGCTAGATATCACGTGCTTAGATACCGCAAAGCAACGCCATACTGGAGAGCAAGCACTCCAGTGATCTCAGATAGTATAGAGGTCACAGAGGTCTGCATTCAAACAAAGAATACAGCGGATAACAGGTCAAAAGGTATACCAATTCGAGAAATCCAGTAAGAAGTAATCAACAGCTTCCCCGGAGTGTATCAGCAGCAAAATCACACCAAAACTCGTTTTTCGCTGATACAGTCTAAGGAAGCTGTTGATTAAGACTTACAAGATTTCTCGAATTGGGATACCCTTTAACTTGTTATCCGCTGTATTCTTTGTTTGAATGCAGACTTCTGTGATCTCTATTTTGTCTGAGATCATTGGAGTGCTTGCTCTCCAGTATGGCGTTGCTATGCGGTATCTAAGCACGTGATCTCTATCTGCAAAAGGCCTATTATGGTCGTGGGTCGCAGCTAGACGTCTTGTGACGTGGGTTTGGCCGTGTTTACAAGTCGCGAATGATCAATGATTGATAATCGATATAAAATACATTTTTTAGTGAAGATTATTAGAAATGCTTTCAATTTGATTGACTTGAAAAGAGGAAAGCGTTATTCCTGTCGAATTTTGTGATCTGGGACTCAAAGTGGGCGTGGCTTAATATATTGCTAACCCAAGAAAATTGCGATAGAGTGAACAGTAAATTGTGCCGAAGTGACGTTTGTGTGTGTTATCTGAACATGATAATTTACCAGATCGTCCGGTTGAGAGCAGTTTTGAGAAGGACTTTTGTCAGTGATATTGACTGACGCTTCGACCATCTAAGCGTAAGTCATCACCAAAGTTTTCTCAAACCTACTTTAACCGAGATGATCACATCAAACGGTCATTGTTACCAAACTGTTTCTTTTGAGCCACTAGCAGTTGCCAATCAGTCAGAATTAGTTAATGTAGTTCTTATTAAGTCATCAACTGGGAGGTGTATGTATCCTGTTTGGAAAACGGTGAAACTTTAGGTATTGCTGAAGTTCGTATACCGTTATTTCAGTAGCCTATATCAACAGCCAAATGTCCTAAGTTTCCGAATTTCTCGCTTTCTACACTTGTTATAGTATTTGAAGCAACTAACTCTAAAGCAATAAAGATCGTGAAATGCACACGTACTGATTTGCAAGCCAAACCGAATATCAATGGTATCATTACTCAGGCATGAATCCCTTTCGTCAAATAAGGAAAGTCCATTTACCATTTATTCTACAACTTGAATCGTTTTTGAGTCGTCAATTGTTTCTTTCTATCATATCAGTCTGATATTATTAGAATCCTTTTGCTTCCAAATGGTTAGTCGTTCACAGTTTTCAAGACTTAATAAATAGGCATCTCTTTCCTTATTGAAAAGATTACGTAAACATAAACAGGAAATCCATTTCTTTTTTAGTCAGTTCACTTTCGGTTTGAATGTCCTGTTGGCCAACCAGTTTTTTTGCCTCTGAAAAATTATCAGATTTCTCATGTGATACATGCTATTGTACAGTCACACAGTTTGATTTTCAGGCATTGTGACAGAAGGACTAAAATATCTATACTAGTTTAAACTATATATGAAAACGAGTGTATATATATATAAGAGCAGAAATGTAATGGTCAAGAGGCAAACTCCAATGTAGCTTTGTTGGTTTATTAGCTCGACGTTTCGACCGCCTCGGTCTTCCTCAGGAGCATACTAATTACATGAGCAATATTCAAATTTAAAATTCGTGTCAACAGTAAACATGTCATGACGTAATAATATAAAAATAGAATAGATAACAGCGAAACGTGTCATGGTGTCTAAAATAGATAAATTAAAGTAGTTATAATTCATGTAGTAAGCTTATTGATAGTAGGATTGAGTCTTAATACGAATAATTTTCTCTTGCTTTTCTGATTTCTTGATTTTGACTTCTAACTTTTTCAGTAACCGTAAGTTTAAGATGGTCGACTCCACAGTTCTTAAAATGTCTGACAGAGGGTATGTTTTTATGTCCACCCTTGATGTCGCTACGGTGTTCATTGCCACGGTGGTGAATTGGGTGACCTGTCTCGCCTACGTACTGATCGTTACATTTGCTGCATTCTATCAGGTATATCACATTGCTAGTCTTGCATGACGTGTGTTGTCGCAGTGTTATCGTTTCTCCTGTAGTGCTGCTTTTAACTGACCCTGTAAATTGCCCGTATGTTTTGCAGCAGTTGCATCTTATGTCAGCCCTACAGGGCCAGAATCCGGGACTAGTGGATTGCAATGGTTTCTGCTTTTTATGTTTATGAGAGAAATGAATTTTGAGATTTTTGTTAGTTTTGAATGATCGACCACAGATTGTACAGGTAGTGTCAGATGGAACTTGAATGTGTGGATTGCTTATATCGTGTGGGGATTCATCAGTGGAGGGGGTTGTGTCAGCGGCTATCGGCGATCGCAGTCTTTTGTGGGTAAGCATCTGTGTTAAATTACGCCCTTTTCGATAGGCAACGAGAGGTGTTTCTTTGAATATGGCCTGTGTGTTGGACGATGTCAAGAGTATTTGATGGTGCTCCTTGAGGATTTTGTGGATGTTTGGCAGTGCTGGGTTGTAAGTTATTACAAGTGGTACACGGTCAGTGGAGGAAATAGGTTTGCTTGTGAGCGCTTCCTGCCTTGATGTTCTCCTTGCTTTCATGATACATTCCTTAATCAACTTATTCTTGTAACCTCGCTTAAGTAGTATGTTGTGTAGCTCACGTGCTCGTTTTTCAAAAAACTCGTTGTCGGAGCAGATGCGTCGTAGTCTCAATGCCAAGCTGTATGGGATGGATGTTTTANTCCATCCATGGGGCATATGTCAGGTTTTCGACAGTTGCAGCTTTTCCTAGCTCGATCATTAGCGCGTGCGAGTTTCCGGATTTCAGATTTGTTGTGGTTAGATATGACAGTTTTAATGCTGCCCATGCAGCTGTAGCTCAGTTTAAGGGTGTTCCGGTTGAAAATTTTGTGAAGAGGATTAGTTTTTGTGAAATGCTTATCAATAAGTGCAAGGAAGCATTTTCCGACGTTAGTTTCCACGTTCTTGCTGTATGGTGGGTTAAACCAAGTAATATTCCGCTGCCTGTTTCTTCGTGGACGTGGTGCCTGGTTTGATGCAGCGTTGAATGACAGGGTGTAGCTGTACCCACTTTTTTTGAGAGCTTCTTGATAAATAGGTTTAGCACTATCGAAGCATTCCCTGTCGGAAGATATCTCGGAGAGCCTCCTATTGATTGATTCAGGGATGTTGCGCAGAATGGATGGTGGGTGGTTAGATTTTTTATGCACGTACAGGGGGATGTTGCCTTCCTTAGTAAAAGGGTAATACTTCCCACTTGAGAGGTCAAGCGTGACGTCTAGAAAATTGGTTTTGGTGATGTTAGCCTCGACTGTGATTTTTAAGTCATTGTCGCGGAAGACTTTGCAAAAACCTTTCTTGATATTCTCTATTTCCTGCGGTGTTCCATTGAGGGCAGCCAAACCATCATCCCGGTATAAACCAATATTTTGACCATACTTCTCAGTAAGAATCGATAAGAGAAAGCATCCAACCAGCTCACACGTTTCCGCTCCATCGAAGGACCCCATGGTAACATCAAAGAGGTTGCTGGCAGATTTCTTCTCCCATGGGCAATCATCGTTAAATAGCAGAGATCGTTTTGCATGCAAGATAATTTCACGCTCATGCCTGTTGATTGAGCAGTGCTTAGAGGCAAAATCTAGTGCTTTGGAAAGCAACTTCTCAGTTATGGAGGGGTAAAATTCACAAACATCGAAACAGATGAATGAAAGAGAGCTCTTGTTTTCTAAACTATTAAACCATTTTAAGACACTTGAGGTGTTTTTCCACTGGTTTACTTTACTGCTGGTAATGATAGCGTTAATTTCATCGAGGATATGCTTACTGATTTTCCCAATTTCAGGCTTAGAATGGTTTATTAAGCGGCGTGATGGATTGTCTTGAAAATTGGGCTTATGATCTTTCAACGTGATGAATGTATCTTCCTGCATTTCTTAAACAATACAGAATCCACAGCAAACGAGTCATACGGTTTCAAATCCAGATACTCTCCGCCTCAAATCAACGAGTTGCTACCTTTTGAAGATGCCATGACCCAGCTTATCCAGAACATAAAATTCAAGGACACCAAATGCACCCTCCTCATTTCCGCCGATAAATCCAAAAATTTCTATACCACGAATCCTTCCTCGTACGACAAATTGCTTCAAGAGAACATTACCAAAACCTACAAAAAGTCAAGCGATCATCTTCTTGACAAGTTAGACTCCCAGTCTGCCAGAATTGCTGAGCGACTCAAGTTAGACAACTGCATTGAGAAATTGGCTAAGGAAGATGCATTCATCACGTTGAAAGATCATAAGCCCAATTTTCAATAAAAACATTTCGGTCAGAGACCTCTTTCAGTTATTTACAACTTTTGAATAAAAAAGAGCTTTAAATAAGATCGAGGTGTTAGTGATTACGTAATTGAAGGTGACGACTAACGAATTAGATACAAGATTTTGTATCTAACTTACTATTACAGTCAAACTTAGTGAAGCGTACCCCTCAGGATCACATTAATGATTTGATTATTTGAATATTGAACCCGCTAATCGTTTCAGGAGCGCAATAACGAATTGAATATTTGAACATGGAACCCGCTAACCGTTTCAAGAATGCAATAATGGATTGATTATTTGAATATTGAACCCGATAGCCGTATTCGTTTTGAAAAGGCGCGGATCATTGTTCAAATCAGAAAATCCATTTCTGATTGGATTATGCGAACACGTGATGATGGATCGGAACTATTTCAACATGGCGTCAGACTAGGAGGGAAAGGTGAGTTCGAGTGTTGTGTAGAACTTCTTGAAAATGTTGTAAATGGAATGTTATCGAGAGCTTTTTCGCCTATTTACGAAATTGTAGAAATTCTTGTGTGTATTCATTGTCGAAAAAAATAGTTTACGGGCGAAGCCATCGCAATACTTTTTTTATTTCGTTAATATTTGCGATCGACTGTTTTCGCAGTGTTTTACAGGGCAGTTTGTTCATTTTCAGGATTCCTCATCAAATAGAACAATCTCATTGGACTTCAGAAATGAACTACTAATTTGAACAATGATCCGCGCCTTTTCAAAACGGATACGGCTATCGGGTTCAATATTCAAATAATCAATCCATTATTACATTCGCGAAACGGCTAGCAGCTTCAATAATCAAATAATCAATTCATTATTGCATTCTTGAAACGAGTGGCGGGTTCAGTATCCAAATGATCAATTCATTAATTTAATCTTGAGAGGTACGCTCCACTTAGTTTTACTGTAAAATTTTTTATCTCGTTTACGTCAGAAGTTGTCCATCCTCGCTTTTTTTAACTCTCTCTACTCTCTCTCTCCCTCTCTCTCTCAGACACACGACAACATAGAGTCAATTTGCTTTATGTAATAAACAAGCATTTATTCTGCTAGTTAAATCGTTTTTCAATTTTTTTTCTATCATATTAGCCTAATAATGAATCAACATCGTTTTGCGTCCAGATGGATAGTCGTCCACATTTTTCAAGACTGAATCATTAAGGAATTCTTTCTTTATTGCAAATATTACGTAAACATTAACAGGAAGTCATTTTTAAGCCCTTCTCGAATGATATTAACGGAGACAATCCCTCTCTACTTTCATCGGCGCGAAGTGGATCGACAGACCTGTTCTCAAAGGCGGCGATGAGATCTTCCGGAAAATGTTCGGCTGGTTCCCGCGTATTTTCACCAGGGGAGTAACTCTGCCGATGGATGAAGTATTCTGCTTTTCGTTCTTTAACTCGTTCTACAACAATACGGTTGACTTCGTAAACGCCCATTACTGTTGGCTTTACCTTCGGACGGTATTTTGAATTACAGGCACGATCGCAAACATTATTCAGTAATGTTACGTAAAAGCCTGGCTGATGCCTCGCACGCCTCGACATGTTAATTCGAAGGTCTTGATTATCAACTGTCTTTTTTATATGTTTTGATTTACCAAAACGGATCCAAATATAAATAATTATCTAAGTGTTCACTCAAGCATAAACCTGTTTTAGGTAATCGCTTAGTTGTTTGTTTTTTCTCTCGATGTTCTTGTAATCCTTAATTCTTCTTTTCTGTTCGGGAACAAGAAAGACTAACTTCTAATAACTATTAGGTTATCAAAAAAAAATCAGCGGAACATAAAATTGCGCGTGTCAAGTAAAAACGAGTGGCTTATGCATCGCACTGCTCAGAATGACTCTTAATGATTAAGTAACTTTTTCGCGCTGTTAGATCTCTTATCGGGGCCCCTCTTACGAACAAGTGAGCCCCCAGAGTAAGTTTACGCAAAACATTTCACTTTGTCACGGGTAAATTGCTGATTGAGTACCGCTATTTCTAGTCCCCTGCCGCCGCTTTTCACTCCAAAAAAAGAAACGGGGGAGGGGGCGGGGGGGG